GCCCTGGGCTATGGCTACACAGCCAGGCTGGCACCCCATCCCAGGATGCTTTGACTTTTTCTGCATCCATGTCTCTACTGATTGAACTTCATAAGACAACCTCCCTCTTCTCAGCTGGTCTGCCCATAGCACAAGACCATGAGCGCTGTGTGAGAGGTAAAAAACCCAAATCTCCTCCCTCTTAACACTGGTGATTCCTGTTAGATTGAGCTTGTGATTCCCTCCTCTTGGCCCATGGCCATGGGAAGGACATTTCATTGCTCAGCACCCTGTTTAATCACCAGGGCAAAGTCAAGATGGGACAGACATGGTGCTCACAGGACCTAAGAGCTTGGGGAGGGAAGGGGACACACAGCCAGGACCCCCATCCTGCCCATCCTGCTTCTGCCACCCCACACCAGTCTGAGCCAGGACTCAACCCCTGCTGCAGCAGAGTCCTCCTGGAAATCTGGGTTATTTGGAGGGCTTCAAACCACTGTTAAATCCACATCCAGCCCCTGATCTCCCAATACCCTTCCTGTGCTTCACACCATGTGCCTGCCTGACCCACACCCAGTTCCTTACCTCCCCATCCAAGGAGAAATTAACTCCTTCCCACCCATAGCAAGACTCCCTATTACACTAAGGGAGCCCTGGCCACTACCTATTAACAAACACAATCCCATTGCCACAATACTGACAGTCTCCCTAAGGCCTAAAAGGCATCAATGGGCATCCTGGTCTCTCCCCTGGGGTCAGGAGCACCTCTGCACTCCCCATCCCCAGTGCTGTGCATTGGGGTTATTCACATTTCTGTTGGGTAAGCCCCTGGCCTTGTGCTTTTGGGAGAGCTTTGCAGTAGATAGTACCTGCTATGAGTCAGCACCGAGTGCAAACACCTGATGTGGCAGACCTCATACAGCATCAACCCATCAGGGTTTTGTGCAGTAGCAAGAACCATCAGCGTGGCTTGATCTAGAATCTCATTGCAACATGTGCCATTGACAATGTTTCAGGAGCTCTCTGCATGGCATTCACACTGTGGGAACAAGAGCATTGGTAAGATATAACCAGGAAGACTAAAAGAACTCTGCGTGTCACCGGTGTTTCCAAAGTGGATCTTCAAGCCACTGATAGCAGGACTGGGATGAACATTAAGTGGTGATCACTTCCCTCTGCCCCAAAGCAAGATCAAGCATGCCTGAACCAGTCCTATAGCTCTCAATTTAACTTGCCCTTGGAGCATCCAAGGCTCATAAAATTCTGAAGGCCCCTTCCAACCCAACTACTCTATGATTCTGTAATTTGTTGTTCCCAGTTGTGCCAAGTCCCTAACTCAGTTTCCCCACCTGTAAAAGGAGGAACAACCAGAACAAGTGGATCCATTGCTGGGATATTGGAAAGAAAGGAATGTGGAGAGGAACCTTTGGCTGATGGTTGACGATCTGCAAGCATCTGGTGAAAAGCAAGAACCATGGAGTATTGTGTGGGTATGGATGTTCACAGCTGCTGAGACCTCACCTGGAGTATTGCGTGCAGTTCTGGTGTCCTCAACATAAAAAGGACATGGAACTGTTGGAACAAGTCCAGAGGAGGCCATGAGGATGATCAGGGGCTGGAGCACCTCTGTATGAAGACAGGCTGAGAAAGTTGGGGCTGTTCAGCCTGGAGAAAAGAAGGCTGCGTGGAGACCTCAGAGCAGCCTTCCAGTATCTGAAGGGGGGCTATGGGGATGCTGGGGAGGGACTCATCATTAGGGACTGTAGTGACAGGACAAGGGGTAACGGGTTCAAACTTAAACAGGGGAAGTTTAGACTGGATACAAGGAAGAAGTTCTTTACTGTGAGGGTGGTGAGGCACTGGAATGGGTTGCCCAGGGAGGTTGTGAATGCTCCATCCCTGTCAGTGTTCAAGGCCAGGTTGGAGAGAGCCTTGGGTGACATGGTTTAGTGTGAGGTGTCCCAGGAGGGGACACCTCACACTCTGGATGATCTTAAGGTCCTTTCCAACCCTAACTATTCTATGATTCTATGATTCTATAGTAGCTCAGATAGTGCTGTTAGTGTCTTACGCAAGATGACCCAGGTGTGTATACGTGAGCATGTTTGGTTCTTCTTGTGCTCCTCCGAGCATAACATGGGCACTGGCCTTGCAAAGGAGTTCCCAGGGCAAAGTCTGGGACCAGATTTCCAAGCTCCTTTTAACTGCAGTTTATAGCAAGTTTGCTCTTTCATTCTACTGGGTATGGAAAAGTGTGGGGATCACAGCAAGAAACTTCCTAGACAAGGTAGATGGGGCAGCATCCTACTGCAGTATGTGGAGTGGTAAGAAGGTATTGCTGACACTCGAGTGAGCACATGACTGTGAGTACACTCATAAGGGTGTTCTAAACAGGGCAGCATTTTTATGGCACTAACTGTGATACCCTCAAGCTTTGAACTCTGCTGCTTTGGAAGACATCCTGAGCCCCAAAGCTGGTCCAGGTGAGTCTAGGTGCCTGGTTAAGGTCAAATCAATACTTTGCCTGAATCAACAGTTCTCAATCCTGTGCAAAATCATGCCATCAGTTTGGGCTTGAATGTTCATATTGCACCAGTGCAGGCCTCAGGCAGGCTCTGTGTGCAGCATCCATCTCAGAGACCCTCACAGATCTCTGCCAGCCCCTCCTGACCACTGCAGAAAGACATTGCCCATGATCTACAGGGTCTTGGAGATTCTCCAGTGCCCCAAATTAAACATTGTGGCTTATCCCTGTGGAAGCAAGCATTTTCCTTGCTTCCCACAGGCACTATTTCCTACCCAGCCACATGAGAGATGGGGATACGGGCACCATCTCTCCAGTAGGACCTGTCAGCTTGAGCCAGTGCCTCAATGACTATGTTAGATGTAACTCAAAGCAAGAAGAGAGCCTGTCTGGAGACAGGAGGTGGTGAAGGTGACAAAGTGGACTGTGGTTCATGGAGCCTTTCAGGTACTAGGGCTCATTCAGAGGCACAAACCTATTCTGGCTGGCTGAAATCCCCATCTGATGCACTGCACCTCCACTGGGAAACATGGGGAGCCACAAAGAAAGGCTGAAAACCAGGCCCTTAAACCCAGATGCTCTCCTGCATGGTAACCAGCATTCAAACACAGATCCCAGAAACCAGAAGTGACTCCAATTTGCAAAGGAGTGAGGAAAAAAAAGAGGAGACAAGTAGGAACTGGATGATCTTAAGGTCCTTTCCAACCCAAACCATTCCATGATTCCATGATTCTATGATTGTGACTCATATTTGGACAATAGTTTTGGCACTTGCCAGAAGATCAGAGCAAACCCAGATGAAGTTGGTTTGTATCCTGTACCTTATTATGTACCTAATTTAGCTCTTAAGTCACTACTTAGAACACGAAACCTGTGACACTCAATCATAGAATAGTTAGGGTTGGAAAGGACCTTAAGATCACCTAGTTCCAACCATCTTACAGCCCTTGATGGAATAGTCAAGGCTCAGGATAGCCTCTGAGCATCACTGTCCATTTTAGCTCTGTTTCAACCATCTCACAGCCCTTGATGGAATAGTCAAGGCTCAGGATAGCCTCTGAGCATCACTGTGCATTTTAGCTCTGTTTCATTCCTGTTAGCTGAGAACTACGATGCAAATGTCTCTCGGAGACCAGTGATCAGCCATACAGCTTCTGTTCTTGCCAGATGCACAAGCCCAGCTTCCCATTGGTAGCAATTGCTGGAAACTAGGACCTCATGATTTATCCAAGGCTTTTAAGAGCTCGCTACCTGCTGCTCTTCTGGCACGGAAACACAAAGTTTAGCTCTCAAACCTGCCTTGAGAAGTTCTGTGCAATCCAATCAGCCAGTGAATTTCTTTCGGATGATGGCACACTGATCCTGGCGTAATCCAATGTTTCATAAACGTCTTAGAAGATTAAGGCATCGCTCTCTGCCCAAATGACAGAGGAGATTCACATCTCTGCAGAGCAAACACTGGCAAGAGACTTGCATAAGAGCCAGCAATATTGTTAGAATTCTCCTCTGTGCTTCTTTGCAAGGGCAATTACATAATGGAAGCCTTCATCTATCAAAAGCAATCCTTTTAATGAAGTGATGCTCTGGAGTAAGTGCACAAGCACACATCCAATGGGAAGGTGGGGAAGATAACAGGATTCCGTCTCCTGACTGGCCTGGAAAGAGGATTTTAAACACTCAATGACTCATCCCTGCTCCCTATTTTTCTTTGTTAACTTCTAGCTCCTGTTTGAAGGTGGGCACCAAGACTCTTTGACTCATGAATCATGGTCCCCAGCATGCAAGGCACTGTGCTTACACAGTCACACATGCCCCATCCCTCTTTATAAAGGACAAGGACTGCACCTGCAAAGGAGAAGGGGTCAGAGCAAGACTGAGGCTGAAAGACCTGGGGCTGCAGAGCTGCCAAAGAAAACCTCACCTGATGCTTAGAAGAACTAAGATACCATCCTGCTCAGGCAGGCTCCCTTAGGGACAAGGGAGCAGCAGCTCTGCTGTTCCCTCTGCCATAGAGTCCCCAGGTTATCCTAAGCTGTGACAGATCTGCAAATCAGGGCAATTACTGCCTGAGTCTTCAAGTCAGTGCAGGCAGGAGTGAGTGCCTGCACATGAGCTTGTCATCTTGATTCTGTAGCATCTATGGGAAGCCATTGTCCTAGTCATGTCTGTTTCCGTCAACTGCCTATGAAGGGTGAATCTGTCACAATCTGCAGCACCCCAGCTGCATCTCTGCATCAGTTTGGTGAATAGATAGAGGAATGGGCACCATTGGCATCACCTCCTGATCAGCACAGAGCTACAGACAGCAGCTGTCTCAGGAAAAATCACACCAAGAGCCACATACACATCCTGAAGGACCATGTCCTGCTATAAAACCATCAAATGTGCAAATTAACCTGTTTAAAAAAGATCATAGAATCATAGAGTCACAGAATGGTTTGGGTTGGAAGGGACCTTAAAGCTCATCCAGTTCCAGGCCCCTGCCATGGGCAGGGACACCTTCCACTAGAGCAGCTTGCTCCAAGCCCCTGTGTCCAACCTGGCCTTGAGCACTGCCAGGGATGGGGCAGCCACAGCTTCTGTGGGCACCCTGTGCCAGCGCCTCAGCACCCTCGCAGGGGAGAGCTTCTGCCTAACAGCTCATCTCAGTCTCCCCTCTTTCAATTTAAAACCATTGCCCCTTGTCCTATAGCTACATATTCTACTTCTCCAGGTTTTCTGCAGCCCCTTCAGGCACTGGAGCTGCTCTAAGGTCTCCCCTTCAGGAGCCTTCTCTTCTCCAGGGTGACCCAGCCCAGCTCTCTCAGCGTGGCTCCAAAGCAGAGCTGTTCCAGCCCTCCCAGCACCTTTGTGACCTGCTCTGGCCTCGCTCCAACAAGATCTCTGCTCTCTAACAAGAGCCCCTGGGGGACCCTGGCCTCTGACACATTGTGCTGCCTCACAGGAAAGCCATGGGATCTCTTGCCCTCACCGTGGCTTTCCGTGGAGTTGATGGCTCAGGTTAGGACACATACATTGCCCTCAAGGGAGATAAGGCCAAATTGTGCAGGGGCCCATCTGGGTCTGGGACAGGCCTCACATCTCTGCTCCTTTTATTGCCTCTGAGGGTGCATCTGCAAGAGGAAAATAAGGGACAGAAAGCATTTAACACACACAATGTCCTCTAAAGCAGCTGAGGAAGGGATGTAATTCTCTGGAGTGCCTTCCCTCAGCAGCAGACACCTTCCTACCACTGCTAATGAAACAGCAGGAAACAGCATTTTCCTGCTCAGCCCTGGCAAGCAGACAGCACAAGGGGAGGGGGTTTTTGGCAGAGCTCCTTAGGAGAGCAGAAGGTAACGTGGTAATTGGAAGAAGGCAAATGGGAAGCAAAGAGAAGGAGGCCACACAGCAAGGTCGCTGGGGAGGAGCTCAGAGTCTGCAAGAAAGCTTGGGACAGAGCTGGAAAGGGAAGGGAAGAAAGCACCAGGAGGAATGATGGAACAAGGGAGAAATGGGACAGGGATGGAGGGGCAGGAGGTGGGTATCCCCAGAGAGGACCTGCTTGTGGCTGGGCCTCCTAAAGGGACACAGCAAAAGGCTGAAACCAGATGGATTTTGTTCAAATCTTTCTCTCTGAAAAGATCCCCCCTTACATTCAGGCTGATCCATTTGTGATCTACAAGTCCCATGTTCTCCTTCACTGCCATTTCCCTATCTTCAATTTAACTCCCTTAGGTTCCAAGGCTGAAGAAATGCAATGTCCCCACCGCCATGACCTATCCAACTGCAATACTTCCCACCAGCAAATACATTCCTGTCCGTGCATCTGCAGCTGAATGCCATGAATGGCAAAAGGAGCTGATATAACCAATGCAGACACGTACCAAGGCTGGAGGACACTGCTGTGGTCCTCCCTCCCTCTACCAGTATGACCCAGGCTCAAAGACATCCTCCTGCAATGGCAGGTTTGGTGCTGTATCAGCTTGTCCAGGACTCCCAGGGAAGGGAACTACAAGCCCAAGAAGATACAGGAGAGGATGTAGCAAACCCTTGCAAATCATTCACTGCAGTGGACAAGCTGTCCTTTGAGAAGTGGAACAATGAAACCTGTGGGGTTTAGAGACTGGTATGAGTTTTAGAGATTTCTGCTGCTGGGTCATACATAGTGTACTCATAGCATTGCATTTCCATTAGCAGAGGCACTGAAAGAGACTTTTAGTCTATCCAGCAACCAAAAGTGGTAGGAATGTTTTCACAGCCCAGAAAGCCAACAGTATCCTGGGCTGCATCCAAAGGAGCGTGACCAGCAGGTCCAAGGAGGTGATCCTGCCCCTCTACTCTGCTCTTGTGAGACCTCACCTGGAGTATTGTGTGCAGTTCTGGTGTCCTCAACATAAAAAGGACATGGAACTGTTGAACAAGGCCAGAGGAGGCCACGAGAATGATCCGGGGCTGGAGCACCTCCCGTATGAAGACAGGCTGAGAAAGTTGGGGCTGTTCAGCCTGGAGAAGAGAAGCTGCGTGGAGACCTCAGAGCAGCCTTCCAGTATCTGAAGGGGGCTATAGGGATGCTGGGGAGGGACTCTTCATCAAGGACTGTAGTGATAGGACAAGGGGCAATGGGTTAAAACTTAAACAGGGGAAGTTTAGATTGGATGTAAGGAGGAAGTTCTTTACTGTGAGGGAGGTGAGGCACTGGAATGGGTTGCCCAAGGAAGTTGTGAATGCTCCATCCCTGGCAGTGTTCAAGGCCAGGTTGGACAGAGCCTTGGGTGACATGGTCTAGTGTGAGGTGACCCTGCCCATGGCAGGGGGTTGGAACTGGATGATCTTTCTAACCTTTCTAACCAAAACCATTCTATGATTCTATGAGGCTATGAATGGCACTTAAAGAAGAGAAAGTTCGGGTATAAGCTGTTGATTCTGTACTCAAAGAACAGGCCTGCTCTAGAAATCACTTTCAAATACTCTAGGATGAGGTGAAAAAAGACCTGAAGATCAATTACGCTTTGCAAATGATCCCCTGTGATGGAGTTTCCATGAGACCTGGTAGGTAACACACAGGTTATGGTGGGAACAAGGGGTATGCCTCCAACCTCTGAGTCTCAGCAGGGCAAACGTGATGCTGGGACAGTGAAAATGCCAGAGCCTGGCACCAGGTGGGAGGAAGAATAGAAGGAAAACTGCTGATGCTGCAGCAAGAGGATTGAAAAGCTGAAGTGACTGAAAGCAGGTCACTTCCAGAGGGCTTGCAAACTGCCTTCAAATTATCCGTTCAGATGAGCGTTAGATAAGCAGAGAGGCTCTGTGGGCCTTCAGGGCAATCCAGACAAGGGGGTGATTCAGCAGCTGGGTGATGACTAAAACACTGAGGCAAGAGGGGATAAATCACTGCTCAAACACAAGACTCAGCTGGGGCTGAGGGAACCCAGGTGGCTGAGCTGGGGCAGGGGCAGGGCCGTCACCAAGGCTGGGCTATTTGGGGAAGCTGGTTTCAAGAAGGGGTTGTTTGGGTTTGGGTTTGTCTTTCAGCCAGGTTCCTATGCAAATCCCCTTATGCAATCACTGCATGTCTGTAACTCTCCCCCTGCCCAACAATTCTCACCCCACCGAGGCAGGGTTTTCACAGGTCCAAAGAAAGGTTTTTCCTACACATGCTGTGAAAACCTCTGGGTGAGCAGAGTGAGGTGTTTGAGACCAAAGGGTTTGACCAGTGTTATGGGGTCATACTCCCCCTGTCCCCTCCATAATACAAGGGAGAGGACCAGTCTCAGTGTAAAAGCTGGAGGATGCCCATAGAATCATGCGATGGTTTGGGTTGGAAAGGACCTTAAGGTCATCCAGTTCCAACCCCTGCCATGGGCAGGGATGCCACACACATCCTCAAACACCCGTCAGATTGTGGAGATGAACAGGAGGTGCGGAGCATTCCCATCTGACGGGGACCACCTCTGCCACCCGCAGCAAGGATGGCCCTGCTCTGAGACCCGGGTGAACACAGTGGGGCTATGTACAGAGGAGGGACTTGGAGGGCACCACACGTGGTCTGGCCCAGGACTGGCATATGAGACATCTTTGCTGGTGACAGGGACAGTGGGATTAAGTGCACTCTCTCAATGTTTGCCGATGACACCAAATTGCGATGTTACTGTGGCTGCCCCATCCCTGGCAGTGTTCAAGGCCAGGTTGGACACAGGCTTGGAGCAAGCTGCTCTAGTGGAAGGTGTCCCTGCCCGTGGCAGGGGTTGGAACTGGAAGAGCTTAAAGTCCCTTCCAATCCAAACCAGTCTATAAGACAGCATGGCTGCAGACCAAGAGGGCTGGGAGACAGGATCTGGCTCTGCCAGTGCAGAAGTACAAGCTCTTATGCCTCCAGTTCTAAAAACTAAGATACAGCTCTGCAGTCCTCTGCAGGAGGCGGGGGGGGGTGTGTTGCCATCACAAGCCTACACCTGTGACCCTTGGAAAGGGAAAGCACACGGTTTCTCCTACGGCCTGCAGTGAGTGCTGCCCCATAAATCAGCTGCTGGCGATTCAAAGTATATCAGCGTGGTTAATGGAGAACACTGAAGTCATCGCTTCCCCTTTTCTTTCCTTTCCTCTCCTTGTCAAAACAAAGATCTTCTCTTCCTTTGCTATCTGACAAACACAGAATAATTTAGGTCAGAAAGGACCCCTGGGCAGCTCCAGTCCAGTTTCCTGCTCTAAGAAGGGTTACCTTCAACACTGGATCAGGATCTTACCCTGCTGACGTCTGCGTGTCTCCAGGTTTGCAGAAAGCATTCTCCCTGTGTACCTGTCCCAGTGTTTGCCCATTCTCCTTCGCTGTGCAGGACACATAAATGAAGCATTCTGGCTGGTGTGAATGGGGATGTTTTGTGTGGAGGTAGCAGAAGGAACAAATGGCAGGGCAAGGGCTACATAAATGATGCCTGCTGATGGTACCTAGCAGAGCAAGTCAGCAAGATCCCAGCACATCCCCATGCACCAGCTCAGCGCTGCCCAGATAGGAGGCAAAGGTCAGTGAGTAAATCCCGGTGACTCACAGACATGTGACAGGATGGAGGGATTCAGCATCCATTGTCCTCCATGGCTTTGAAGGGAAGCCCAGCCAGACAACTTTGACGCAAGGGTTTTGGTGCTGACATGATGGGTCCACATTTATTGCTGCTCGTGGGTATGAAGGTCTGAATGCAGCGAGTGACAACAGGGTTTCTTTTGGTTTTGGTTTAACATTTAATCAACGTCCCCCTACAAAGCCTCACTTCATGCATTACTTCATTGTCCCAGCATCATTTCCTACAGCCACAACCTGGCCTTGTTGCCTCATCCTTTCACAAGGCCCCTTGGAGAAGAGACTGACCTGGCTTCTCTATAACCTCCCCTTAAGCAGCAGAACTCAACAGTTGCATTCCCCTGAGCATCTTCTTTCCCAGGCCGGTCAAACCCAGCTCCCTCAGCCTTTTCTTACGTGTCTTGTGCTCTCCACTGGACCTTATCCACTTTGTTGGTCTCTTCCTTGCACTGGGGGCACCTAAAATTGAACACAGAGGGGAACCATCACATACCTCAACCTGCTGCCTATGCAAGCAACCTACAAGGCACATACAGGATGACACCACCTCCCACTAAATACAGTAGTGGGTGAATCAAATTC